CCCCCCCCCCCTTTTTTTCCCCTTCTCTTAGCAGTTCTTTCCTGCCATGCCTGCTTTGTTTGTTTTTGTTTTTTTTAAGTAAACACCTGAAAACCACCTCCATACTAGAGTAAAAATATGACGACAACCTTTTTGCAATCAGGGAAAAAAATAACAAGACAAAATTGCATTGAATTTCTTTACTTTGAGTTGCACACAACTGTTTACAAAGTTGAGCTTGATTACACAAGGCAACTTGTCGCCAAGCAATTGCAGTCTGATTTAGAAACACTGCAATCACTCTCAGACAGACAGATCAAGGTTTGCACATAACTGTCATCTAATTTATAAACAAAAAAAAGTCAACATACTGCTGGTGTCACGTGTCTTTGCAACAGAGGACTCAACTCAGCTGGTTGTATTCTGGTATAAGAGCAAGGTTGCAGAGCGCCTGAGTCATTTTATAGTTAAACAACTATTTTGCAGGAACTATGTCACTATTTGTGGAAGAATTTCCGAATTTCTATAGCCACAGACTTGCAATTTCTGCAAATCAATCATAGTTAATGCCATATTGTCACAGACCCCATTCTACCTGACTCCATCAGATAGCATCGTCTTGATGGAACAAAGTTCCTTTCAACATGGAAACTGACTGCAAGTAGACACAGACCTTGTTCCCATCTTCGAAGCCCAATTGTTGTCCCAATTTCAAAGACAATAATATAGTTCATTGCACACGGTCACAATAATTTTGTTAGTGCTGCATCAACATTTTCCCAGAGTGTGAAGGATAGTAAATTAGTCCCACATATAGTTTATAGCTTTGCAGACACAGAAAGGTCCAAATATATCTGCAGCGCAAAGCAAAACCCTTAAGGTATTACGCTTCAATGAAATCAAAATTATTTAAACTTTTATTTTTTTATTTTATTAGTTAAAATATTGGTAACTACACAAACAGAAGCAAATAAATTATCAAAAGGTTAAAAGCCTTTCACAAAGTGTCGCTTTGGCTGTCATGTAAGTATGAGCGGAACTATTTTTGGACTCTGCTGGACATATCCGCCTTCACGTCCTGGAAGTGTTTTTGCTGCCAGAGACATTTATATATATTTTTTTAATTGCACCAACAGTTTTGTTACATAGAAGAGCGCAAGTAGAGAGAGGACTGCGTTTCACTGAGCTACACAGACACAAAGATATAATTAGATTCTAAAGAGTTAGGCCAATTGCGCTATGTTTATAACCCCCATTAGCTCTGCCCCGACATAAATTCCCCTGTTCACACACATGAATGTGTTTGTTAGCAACTCAATTGTCCAGTTTAATCTAATCCATGCTGCACATTTGGAAAGACACCGAGATCTCTCTGGGGTCACTCGTTCATCATGAGTTTCACCACTAAGTCACTGACATGGATAAGCTGATTCAAAGAGCCGGGTCTACTCGCATGTTCTTTACATATCAAAAGGAGGAGAAAGTTATGTATGTCTTGAAATAATTAACTGCCACTTTGTGCATGTGTATAATATCAAACCAACCTGGCAGGATGGCAAACTGTTTCTGGAGTTCAGAGCCGATTTGTGCTGCATACATAGGAGTATCATCCTTTTGCACGATGTCATCTAAACAAAGAAACAGAAAACAGTATGTTAGAAAACAAAGTCTCCAAACCAAAATCCACTGTCAACTCTTTTGCCAATATAACCAACAGCTGAACTTTTTTTTTTTTTTTTAAGTGTGTTCATATATAAATATGTGGAAGGTGTAAAAGGGGAGGAGCATGGGAAGTAGGGCGAAATAAAGAGGGCAGGGCACATGAAAAAAGGAGGGAGTAAAATGAGAAAATCCAAAAAGGAGAAAGAGTGAAAAGGGGTAAAAGTAATGTAGACTGGAGATGAAGTAAACACCATTTGGATTTCCTCTGTCCTGTGGTCAGGCTGGATTACAGTAATCTCATTTAGCCCTTTGAGACATGTAGAGACAGAGAGATAGAGAAAAAGCACTCTCCCCCCCACTGATTTGGCTGCCATGTGTGAGCCATGTATGCCAAAAACAGGGATTGGATTGTTAACTGTGTCCGATCATGTGTGCATCTGTGAATGAAAACTGAGAATTTATAATGTCATCTAAGTGTGTATGATGGAGCATCGCTACGTGTGTGTGTGTGTGTCTCTGAGTGTGTGCAGACAAATGCTGGCACCGCGGCTGGTGTGAGCAAAGTGTGGCAAGGTTTACTAGCAGTATGGTGTGGACTGGCAGTGAGATGCATTAATTACCATCCAAGTGCAACCCAAACAAACTGTTCACATTTTTATAAAGGGACCATCGACCCAAAAATTGCAACACCAGACTGATTATAGGATCTTTAGAAGAGTCACTGTTTTAATCTCATCTAGGATAAGCTTTGTGGTGAAAGTGTCCTGATGGATGAGGTTTAAAAGCTCCACTTTTCTCTCTGATAACAAACTGCATATAAAAGATGGAAATAGGCCACCGTGAGGTTAACAGTGTGGATGTCTCCAATTCACAATCACAAGCTAACCATAGACAACAACACACTCTGTTTTATTTTCTATTTAACACCAAAGGTGACCATAATTTACCATGACCATGACATAGTGAGCATATTTTTCATTCATAATTCATAGCAAAATATTTTGACTAAGCAGCCTTTATAGGTTAAAAGTATCGACATCTGTATTGGGAACAGCAATACTAGCACTGCATTTACTTGGTTACACCAAAATTCTCACTAGCAGACCACTAGTGAGAAGTGAGGTCATGCTCTCATAGACTTCTATATAGTTGGCTTCAGAAACCCCCAGTTCTATTAGAATGAATGGAGCTTTAAGACACTTTCATATGTGCAATGCCCATTTTTGGAGGTTTTTGACACATGTGACTGCTAAACATGCGGCATTAACATTTTGGACATGTGACAATTATGATGGCAATGTAGGATAATGTGAATAATGCTCGTCACACAAACCTGGAGACCAGTCGGTGACTGCCTAATTGTCATCAGTCAGTAGGGAAAAATGTGCATTTCCAAACCAAATGGCAAAAACCTCCTTGTAATCGCTGTGGTTGCTAGCATGCTGCTGCGGTAATAGTTGGAAGTGACAGGCTTGTCTACAAACACTGGCCTGCTGCCCTCCCTGATGGTAAAAGCTGCCCTTTCGAAACACTGGAAGCACAACTTCAACTTTTACTACTAATTATCTAGTAGTTAGCAAGTTGTTTGCAGCATGAAACATGAAAAACAAAAAAACTGACAAACTACGGGCCACCGTAACAATGTGCTAGCTATCAAAGCAATTACTAGAAGGTTTTTGGTTAAGCACCTTCTCTGCAACTGATTTCACCCAGCAAGAGCCGGCAAACTGCAGGAACCACTCGCCAGCCTCCCAAGGAAACCAGTGGTTCTATCACATCCAATATGGCACACAACTCTTAAGCAATGTGCGTCTGATGTCACATTAGAAATGTCAATAGATATTCCAAAAAGCTATTAAGGGCTAGCTAATCTAACTGTAACACTGTCAGCCAATCAGACATGTGTCAGACATGTGAACTGGACGCAGAGTTATACAAACGAACACTCTCTCTTCTTAGACTTTATTTCTCTGAGATGTGCCTTACTTGCTCCCTCTTTAAATCTCTAAATCTAATCCTGTAGTTATTAAAGATGTTAACACACAACGATATGTTCAGCGAGTCTATTGTTAATTACCAAAGTGTGAATGCGTCATTTTACGGTAAACACAAAGTGCAGCTGAGGCCATCGGCGATGTTATCAGGCGGTCATAAACCAGGACTTGTGAGTCACTTGAGCCAAACAACTAAAAACAGTCTGTAACAGCATGAAACCTTTAGTCTGTGGGAAAATAAGACAGAATGACCACACCGGAGAACAAAGCAATCCACTCATACCAGACTAAAGCACTGCAGGTGATCACATAATTGGCATTCTTCGTCACAAATATCCTCAGACTACCTGTAAAAACTGTGCGCATGCTGATGTTTGTTGGTCATTTCCTTCTTTAATCTGTGGCACCGTCGGTCTATGCAGCAGCTCCATATGATGCAGCAACCCCCTGGGATTAAGAGCTTAAAGCTTCAGTAATGCTACATACATTGTGTCAGCATACGATTGGCTAGACAGTGACTCATACTACAGATTGTACGTCTCATGTTTTTTGTGAAGTCAACATATGTTACAGTATGAGCAGCTGTTCACAGGATGTTTGAGATGCTCTTGGAACTTGCTTTAAAAATTATTAAAGAAGTAAAACAAAGTATACTGTAAGTAGCTCTGGTCAGGAAGGAACATGGTGTCCTGGGGGTGTACAGCAATAACTCACACACACTTTGGTAAAGTCAGAGGTAAAGCTTTACAGATTTTAGGAGATTATCCAAAAAAAAGCAGTGATTATTGCAGAAAAAGCAACAAAAGAAGAGGAGAATCGGAGTAGAGACTGGGTCAAGACAGAAGAAGAAATGGCTTAAAAAAAGGACAGAGGAAGATAAAAGTAAACGGTCTAAGAGTGGAAAAAGAGAGATGGTTGACTTGGCACTAATCCAGGTCCACTTATTAGACTCAAACACACCACAGAGCTTCCAGCAAAAATCAACCACTCTGTAATTTAACACAAAAAAACCCAGCAACTGTATATAATTAGCTTCTACTACAGCAGAGACAAAGAGGAAGGGGGCGTGCTTTAAAATCTGAGTTCATGGTGCCTTTGAGCAAAGCAATGAGTGCTGAATGAAGAACAATTTGTTTTCTGGAAGGACAAAGGAGATAATGAGGTGGGGATCCAAAAGGAAATGTTTGATTTGTATATGATATACAGTATAGGAGGCAGACTGTGTGTGAGCAAGTGTGTTGTCATATGTCAGAGTGTGTGTTTGAGTGTTGTGGGATCACTGGGCCAGCTGTCAGTTCAATGTGTCAGGCAGTAAGCTCTGGCTAAGGCCCAAGCTCCGACTAACAGCAAGACATGTGCAGCGCTCTCTGACTGAAGATACTTTAAGCGTGCAAGTGTCCGCATCTTTGACCTTACAGCAAGAGAGTTGGTTTTATTTCAAAATAAAACCAACTCTCAGACTAAATCTCAAGCGATGCGATCATGCGATTTGCAATACTTCATGTCACAGTGTGTCCAGTTCATGGATGGATTTGCCATTTCAACCAGATGGAGTTAAAGCTCCTTTAGTCGGTCATTTCCTACATTAGCCATGCCTTAGGATGAGTACTTGCAGCTGTTAGTGTTAAATACAAGTCAGTAAAGTAGCTGTGAAAGCATCAGTAAGTGATCGTCCAACTAAGAAGATGCATTTTTAAATGCTTGAAATAGTTTCCTGCTGCATGCAAAAAGCTACTTTGTAAGACATTTTTTTTCTCCCCCAATTGAACCTCATATTTTTATGAAAATGTAAGAACATTTGTAGAGAACAATTTCATTTAGCTGAAATAACATGCACAGTGCTCATGGTTTGTGAACTATATGGGTGAATGGTGCAGATATATCAGACATTCAGGCGTCGGGCAGCTTTTCACTGCTGCTGAAACTCTCAAACGGCTCGCTTTGTCCTCAGTGGAATGAATGAAATCAAACTATAGTGGCGAGGCTGCGAGCGAAACCCTTTTACCCACCAAACAACACACACACACTGGAAGTGGGACAAGGCAGCCAAACACAAATAGTGATTATGGGGGGCCTCGAAAGAATGCCCCACCCCCTCCTTATACCCTTCCCCCCAGGCCTCTGACACCCCTTCCCAAATTCATTCATCCTTTTCTCAGAGGCTTATCTGAAGGACAAATAATATGTATCCCAGCAATATTATGCATTAGGAAAATATTACACCATTATTAACTTTTATCAAGTGTATTGTATTTCTAAAGGGCTCTATTCAGCAGTTAAAATAACTTTTAAGTTAATGTTAAGTACAACTCGGATGAAGACATATGTGCTGCATGAACGCATCATTTCAGGATTAATATGCAGCTGCAGCTGCGGTCTACTGAATCGGATCATTTCACACTCCTAAATGTCTCCAGCTGTATTCTTGGTTGTATATATGAGGGAGGAAAAGACCTGGATTTAAAGGGGTGAAAAGAGGGAAAAGGAAGCAGTTGGGGAAAAAAAAAACTGTAGAGGTGCTCTCGTCTCAATAAGATGATATGGAGGACAGGGTTTCTTTACACATGCCTACATATTTAATGTGTTGGCCTGGTGCTAGCCGATACCGTGGATGTGATCTCTCTGTGGCAGAGGGTCAGGAGGAGCGCCACAGTTTAAAACCATAAAACACACAGCATCCAACATTATGCGATGTTGAGCATGTTCTCATCACCGTCACACTACAAATGATGTGGAGTCTCGTGATCTGAAAGGTTGTAAACAGCCCAGTGTTGGGAGGAGAACACTGACGTGAATATTATTCAAACGTCAAACATTCTGCAAAGTCGCGGCTTCAGCACTGACCTGCTGCACATGCCGCAGCTTATGTTTTCAAATCACAGCTATTAACTTTCTTTTACATTTGTTCATATAGTTTTGTTCTCCTTGATGGCAGCTCTGTCAGTTCCACAGGTTTCTGTCCTGGGACCAGT